CGAAATCGCGGAACATGTGTATCAGTCTGGTGGTCGTGTAGGTATGGGGATGAAGTGTTGCGTGTTATGCTTGCGTGAGGTGAAATCAAATGAAACACAATGAAGGTCTTTCTCGAATCGGACCATGTCACGTATGAGCCAACGAGAAAGAGTTGAGCGCTACGGATTTGTCTCGGCTTATGTAGCGAACGCTGGCGTATTGACGCACGCGCTCACGAAAGGCTATGGGCGCAGGATCATCCAGCTATGAGCATCTTGAACATGCACAACGCTTCAGAAGCCAGTGTCGTTCCTTGCCGCCTCGCTAAAATTCCACTGGGTCCAAGGCTCCGACTTTTGCACTGGCATGGTCTGTGCAGCAGCGCGATTCAAGCCGTTGGTCCTCGTTCCCAATCCACTCTTGCGTCCTTGCAAAGCAGCCGACGCGCCAAGTCCTCCTAATGGCGATGGCTTGTGAACAAACGAGCTGGGCAGAGACTCTTCAGGAGAAGTCGATGGGCTGGCTTCTCCCTCCGAGTTGGACGAAATGGGAGAAAGAGGTGGGACACTGGTCGAGGAAAAGGTAGTACATCAGCCAGTGGAAGAAGTGGAGCAAGCAAATGGCGTGCACGCGATTGCGGTTGCGAATGCGAATGCGAATGCACTCACCCGTACTCTTCCTCCTCTGCAAAAGCCATCTCGAGAACGGCGTTGCGTCCACCAGCGTGTGTGAGCTGCACAGGTTGGAGCGCATTGTCCGACGGCCACTCGTCTTCGGCTGCGTGATTAGCCGGCGAAGCAGTAGCGACGCTGCTAAAGCTGCTCGCTCGTTCAAAGCCTCCATAAGGCAGCAATTCGCGAGCAGGAGCTGTAGCAGTCCTGCTCCAAGCTGCCGTCCTTTTGCCCAGCTTCTTCTGCGAGCTACCTTCGTTCAGCGCTTGACGAGGATTGGCGTGCGATCCAGAATGGAGCCCGACCCCCAACGTGCGCGCTGCCAAAGCTGCTTCGAATCGAGATTGCTTCTCGCTCATTTCTGGTGGAGGTCCAGCTCCCAAGGGCCAGACGCCGTTGTCGTGTTTGGGCTCGGGAATGGAAGTTGCTGGAGAGCGATATCCCCTAGCGACATCTGTGCAGGGCGAAGTCGAGCAAGGTCAGCGATCGTCAGACCGTGCACATCGCATCACTCAACGATCCACATCGCTAGTGTCTCGCTCACAGCTTCGCTTCTCCATTCCCAAGTACTCCAAGCGATTCTCGACGTGAGGGGGAACCCTTGCGCTGAGCTTGTGACTGCCTCTAGCGCCCGCATCCGAGCTTTGACTAGCTACGCTAGCTACCGAGTCGGAGCGCGCAAAGCCAGAAAGCCGACCCAAAGATCCAAGAGATTGCAGACCGGATGCTGTGGCGGCGAATGGGGGCAAGACCTGGGATGCGGCAGGTGGTTGCGCCGTCGAGTCTGGAAGAAATGCCATCTTGACGAGGTGTTGGTTGATGTGGAGTGGTGCAAAAGAGGCGGAGGGTCTCCGTCAAGCGACTTTTAATCCCTTGGCTTCTTACGACTGCTGGATGCAAGAGTACTGGAAGTGCTCGCCAGGTCTACGTGCCTTCTCGTAGGTGTATTGCCGTGACCCGTCGTAGGAGGGGAGTGGCTTGCAGGCTTGCACTTGCTAGCTGCAGCACAGCAAAGTGAGACACAATACGGCTAGGTCTCGCCTGTCGAGTGAAATGACGACAAGCTTGCGCAAGTGCGGATGATTGTTCTGGAAGATGGGTGCGAGCCGTGAGCCCTATGTGTGCAGTCCAACGCTTCCAAGCAGGATGCAAAACTGGTGGTCGTCGACGTGGATGTCTCGGAGAGCCAGTCGTGAGTCTTGTGATGGACGAGACGTTGCAGGCAAGCAGCGGAATCGTCATGCAGCGGTAGCATGTGCCTCTCCTACGGCTGCTCGCTGCTCGATGGCGGGATGGCAGGAATCGATTCGAGCGACCGCATCACGCGTTCCCAACACGGCAACACCTCCTGTACTGCATATAGCCACCGATGGCGCACGCGGGCCGCCGCGTACTTCGTCGCGACTTCGGGGTCGCGCGCGCGGAATTCGCGCGACGCGCCAATTTACGCGGCAGACGCGGCGCGTACTGCAGAGAGAGCGGCCCCATCCAAATGGCACGTGATGTCCGTCCGTCAGACAGGTTCAAAGGGCAAAATAAGCTGAAGACCAGGTTTAATTTTGACTTTACATTCGAATTTGGCCTGCCGCACACATAGCACACCCTCGAAGCCACAGCGAGACCGCGCGCTGTTCGCCTGAGCAAGTTCAAGACCAGCGTGGGCAGTATCACGACCGTGAATCCAGACGAGAGCCGAGCACACTGTGCAACTTGACTTGTCCTGGTAGAATGTGAAGAGTCAGGTACACAGGAGAACCGAAAGTGGTTCCACTCTAGGAGAAGACGCATCCAAGGTCACTGACCAGCCCGCGCTGTGTGCGCATACGCTCAAGATGTCATTGCAGTTCGTCCCACGTCGCGTGGCTCGCAATCAACCCAAAAGGGCTCCTCTCAGCGCAAACACGCGCCATGACGGATCCGTGGTCGCACAATCCAACAGTGCACTATCGGCGCATTCGGATCCCACACAGACTGCAGGGGAAGCCGTGCTTGCCCTCATGCTAAAAGTCAAGGTGCTCGACTCTGACTGTTCTTCAAACGAGTTGAGCATGGACAGTAAAGCCAACATCGTGGCGCAGCTAGAGAAGATTTGTCCACGAAGCGTATCGTACGTAAGGTTTCTGGGAGAAGAAAAAGATCAGGACGACGAGGTTGCGCAATCCGAATCAGAAAAATGGGTGGGTCGCATTGGATGTGCTACGGTGTGCAACCACTCCACTCAACACTATAGGGTGTGCTGACAGGTTTTGTCTCTGCTTTCGCAGCTTCTGATCCGGGCAAGATCGAGATGCGCAGCTGAAGATCTGCTCGCGAGCAGCAGCACCGTGTCTGAGACTTGCACATCTGAGCGCAAGCCCTCGATCGAATGGCGCAGCATTCGTCGTCCAGCTCCACACGAGCAAGCATCCATCTTGCAGCAGCTTCCTGCACGAGTGCTCAACTTTGCCAAACGTCGAGCAGCCGAAGTAGATGCGCTCGCATCTCGCTCAGATACTGCTACCCATCACGCAAAACGTCCCCTTTCCACCGTCGACCATCATAACGACGTCACCTCGGCTTCAGCTTCAATGTGGCTACAGAAACGTCGAGAGACGCGTCGAAGAAAAGTGTACAATAGGCGCAGACGGAGGAAAGGAGTCGGATCGTCTAGCACGGAAGACCATGCAGTCGCAGATGTTCATTCAGCTCTTCAACCCACATGATGCGCACGACAATCGTCAACCGTTGATCAGAGCTACTTGAATCGTGGGCCCATATCACTTGGCTACCGCTTCTTACCGTGTACCACACCACCTTTGCAAGCGTGACCTCTGCTGTCTACGGAGCATTGCCGTTGTAAAGCCCCATCTATGTCCCTGCTTTACCTTCCAAGTCACGTAGTAGGCTCGCATCGCTGCCTGATTTCAGCATCCACGACCTTGCGATTACGGGCTGGGTGAATGTACAGATATGACGCAAAAGGCAGAAAGAGTGTCAAAGGTGCGGTAAAGGAGTGTGGCTAGGAACGCGAGAATTTTGAACGTGCATTGACCAGCATTTGCGCGTCAAGAATCGAATAAGAAAGGCAAGTAGATGGGGCAGTGTGTTGCGGCAATGCGAAGAACAGCACAAAGATGAAAGATGACTGCTCTGATGAAGCTGCCTATCAGTGTCCAAATATCCTGAAGACGATGTAGAGTACGGAGCCCGTGGCGCGCAGAGCGCTCAATCCAGCGGTGGACCAAAAGAGTGCAGCCATGTACGGATCAGAAGACCCCGGCAGCTTGCGTCCCACAAAGCGTTTCCAGTACGAGGATGTAAAGAAGAGAACCAGGACGGCGTTGACGAGGATGTAGATGAGTAGCAGATTCGTCCTGAACGTCGCCGCCTCATCTGCAGCTTTTTGTGTCGGCGCTCGATGCTCCTTCTCCTCCACTCGAGGCACTGCCATTTCTCGCTGAGCGGATTGCCACAGCTCTGCAGCATCGTTTGCCGTCGTCGTTTTCACCTCGACTTGGGCTGGCTTGCCATCCTTCCCGCCAGTGGTAGAAGCTTTGCCCAAGTCTTTCGCAGGTTCTGCAGGTCGATTGCCCCACGACAAATCGTGAGTATTCTGTAGACAAGTGGGAGAGGCAAAGGATTAGTCCTGCTGCAGCGTGATTGCGTCAAGCAAGATGGCAGCACTCACCGCCATAGAGTAGATCGCCAGAACAATAACAAAGCAAGGGGTCAGGAACAGGTATTGGATGAAAGAAGTGACGAGATGCCAAGGTTCAAAGTGGATGATGGAAGCTATGACCCACAGAACATATGTGCTCGCAAGCGAGATCACAATGTCTCTGAAGGAGTCCAGCTTGATGAGTTGAAGGATATTGTCACCAGTCCAGCCCGAGAGGTGGGTAAGTCCCGCAGCGTCAGCAGCGATGAAGATAGTAAAGCCAGCAGTGTACAGCGCGACCCCCATCAGAAGGGCTGCAGAAAGATGGCCAAGAAATACTACCTTCGTCAGTGATGTGCGGCATTCCAGATATAAGTGCGACGCGACTTACCTAAAAGTATGACGACAGCATGATAAGCCAGGTTAGATCCTTGCGGCCGATTGCCCAAGCTGAGGATCAAGCAGACCACCACGATGGCGATCAGGGCATTGAGGACAATCTGCAGCACCGAGTCTCCCTGGCCACCAAACGGATCGTGTTTGTCGTCGGACGTGGCAGAAGAGAACAAGAAGTAGATGGCCAAATAAAAGTTGGCAATGCCGGTAAAGGCAAAGATGAGCTGTACAAGCGAGTAGATGACCTGGAACTGCAAGAGGAGCTTCCGGAAAAATCCTTGACCGCTGGTCCACATCCTCCCAAAGTGCCAAGTAGAGTAGATTGCTGCAAACAGGCTTCCGTTCAACCATCTTCGACGCTGTCCGATAAACGCTGGAAGCTTGTCGGGGACGTCTGTAGAGGCCCGAGCGCTCTTGACGTACTTGAGCAGCCAGCCTTCCCCTCGCTTAGCAACAAGTTCAAAGCACAGAATGCGATCTTCTGCGAGGTACATGTTGCCCAAGAATGAGCCCCCATGCACAGCACCCGAGTGCAGCGCTTCTCCCTTAAAGTAAGCCTCCAACGGTCTCCCCTGCAGCGCCTTATAACGATAAGCGGAGAAGGCTCCAGGCAAGACGGTAATGTACCCGAACACCGATTCGAGTGGCTTGTCTAGGATGTTTGACATTTTGTACTCAAAGTTCTGTGCCGCGACGAGCGGGTTGACCAGCTGCCAGCAGCCGCGACCCGTTTCCACTGTGATCTCGCCACAAGCTCCTCCGCACTTGGGATGATTGTCAAAAGCCTTCCAAAGGTGGTAAAGGGACTTTGCTGCTGGTTTGGTTCCAACGTCGAGCAGGATGCACACATTGGGTTTGAGTTGGGCACAGAAAGCGTTGAAGAACCATCTGTGCGAGTTGAGCTTTTTGGCATTGGTCTCCTTGAGGCACAGCATGACTTGGATAGGACACTGGGATACCTCCACCGAGCCATTGGCCGACACCATTACTTGCGAAGTCAACTCGAAGATGTGGGCAACGGTCGGCTTGTCGTTGACGTGATCCACCATCACTCCTTCCTGGTAGACACCCATCAGCTGTAAAAGCTTCAAGAAGCGCTTGTCCGCCTTCTTTCGCCCATCAGCCACCAGAATCACCACAACTTTGGTCCAGCCTTGCAGGCCCCATGTCTTTGACTTGGTCCGCGAGGTCAGGTAGGCTATGTTCTTGATCACAGAGTTGAGTGTCCTGACCAGCAGTTGCTCATCTTCGTTGTACGAGGTCAACACGATGCAGAGCTCGATCTCTCTGCCCAGCAGCCATGGTCGAAGCGCGTAGCGCTGAGCAATGAAGTGATCGGGGTCGCACGTAGCGGCCGTGTAGCGCATATGCGTGAACTCTTTGCTCTGGTTCTGCTTGCAGATGTTTGGCGCAACAGGCGTCTCGATGACCAAGTTTCCATTCTCTAATGCCAGCTTCTTGACGGTCCTACGCCGCATGATGCGCTCGTGAGTCTCGTTGTAGCCTGCATGAGTGTGCCGGGGTTGGGCCTGTGCGAGCACTGTGCCAGGCGCTGCAAGACCGACCCAACCAGCACCAATGTTTTGTTCTTCTGGCATTCGTTGCGCTCCAAAGCCGTAACCTCCTGGGTTGGGAAAATTTGGATGACCGCCATTGTGATAGGTGTCAGGTGGGTAGCCGGGCGCACCAGCTTGCATCTCGATAGCTTCGTGGCCGCCGCCAAACCCGCCAGGTGCATCCCATCCATTTCCAGTGTAATGATTGGAGTTCAGGTGCGATGTGCTGCTACTCGCCATGTGCTGATCTCCGTAGTAGCTTGCACCCCCCATCATGGACGCCTGGTCATCCCAACCTTTGTTGTATTGAGAGTACATGCTTTCGTCATCTCCAACTACCCGACCGCCGCCGCCACCGCTGATGAAGGGCGGATTTGGCTTCGCAAACGATACACTGTGCAGGACAAGAAGCTTCAGCGTCACGAATCTCGCAAGTACGGCCGCATGTGGATGGACTATGATCCGCCTTGAGCGCATTCACGTTGCAAGCTTCAATGACAACGCGAAAAGGGGAAGCCTCTTTGTGGTAGATCTGATCGCAGACTCACCTCTCTCCTGTGCGATGACGGAGACCGGCACCTTGAATGTTTGCTGGCGAAGGAGAGATGTACCCAGGCCCGTTGAACTGATCAGGTTCGCGCACGTCTTGTTCGTAGCGCGCGCTACCCGCATCCGCGAACGTGTTGTAACCGCCAAATTGGTCAACTGCTGGGCCTGGCGCAGGTGCTGGTGATGACCGGAAGGAATCGTCGTATTGTGGTGAGGGTGCCATGGGCGGTAAAGGAGGTGCAAAGGGAGAGGGAGATCCTGCAGCAGGATAAGCTGCGCCTTGGCTTGGATATCCTCTTCCATACACCGCGCTATCCTGTGGATACGTCTCTTCATTGTTGTGGCCGTTGGGCTGAGCCCCCCTGCCATTGAACTGATGTGGGTTGCGATGCGGAGGCGTCGCCATCGATGGTTGTCTACCGAGTCGGCGTCGCCGCGGAATCAATTTGCGCACAGTGTGGGCAGATGGGAATGGATGGGGTTGCAAGGGAGGTCAGGGGCTGTGAGTGCACGGCAACGGGAAGAGCAAGCGCATACCCGGGGTGCAACGATGCGATTGTCCAGCTTTGCTGGGGTCGCCGATCCCGCTGCGGCCCGACCTGCGTCTAACCCCATTTCAACACCTGATCTACACTCTGGTCGCCGATCTGGGTGATGAAGAAACATGCGCTCACCTGGTGGGCCTTACAGGCGTCGATTGGAAGCTGGGCTGGTCGCTCATTTTACCAAGAGTAGGTCAAGACGGAGGAGCGAGCGGTGACAAATTTCCCAACTCGGTTCGTGGCCCGCCGTCGTGGTGAAAAACGAGGCGCAGCGCTGCGTTGGTGTGCTTCCCTACGTGTTCCAAGCCAACGTCGAACAAGAACTAGCGTGGCGCTGCAGTAGAGCGGTATGCCGATGCTCAAGACAGCCTGAAGTGCCTCTGCGTGCACAAAAGCAGCGACTGAGTACACTGGCAGCTTGCCTGATTGCGAAAGGATGGTGGTACGTGCGATCTACGATTGGAGTGTGCGGGGCGAGATTGACTGAGAGGCACGAGCGCCAAAAGAGGTCCCGCCTTTATTCTGGGTCTTTCTCGAGTATCTGCCGGCGAAGGAGAAAGGTTGGATGGAGGGGGAAGGATGGTGAGGGAAATGAGATGCTGGCGCGTTCGAACAAAATGCGAAGATGTGAAGCGTGAAATTGTAATCGTGAATTGTTGGATGAAGAAGGTTTGTAGGTGCGAGGCAAGGTGGGAAGGGCAGCTGCCATAGCTGCTCACGCATGCTGCAAAGCTATCGCGCAACGGAGATGCGGAGAGATAGGGTGCGAGTGTGACTCTTTCGAGGTCTACAGTACACTCTCACTGTACTTGTACTGCCCATTCACTCACACTCACACTGTTGTGACTGCTGCTGGCGCATGGACTCGAATCTGCACGGCACTCACGCGCGCAACCATCAGCAACAGCAGCAGCTGGACTCACCACTCACCACTCACCACTCACCACTCACCACTCAC